CCAGTGTGGTGTGGTGGATTGCCTCTTGGGCTGAGGATGAACAGTACAAGGGAAGAACAGCCTCACGAGGAGAGGTGTTCTTGTGCTTGGTGTGCTTGTGTGGTTGAGGATCGAAATCTCTTTTCCCATATGGTGGTGGCTAGTCCTATTTTATAGAGACCCTGATCCTCTTCCCAAATATTGAGCGGGAAGGGATCCCACAACGGCCAAATTCGAAGGGAGACAACTAGTACAAGCTATCCTGACAAAAATAGTCTTCGCCTGCCGAAGGCTCTGGTCGTGACGCCGTCTTGGGCTCCACGCTGACCTCCGTCTTGCCGTCCTGCTGGTCTTGGTCTTGTTGCGTCGATATGAAAACCTTTGCCTGATGCCTCGGGACTCCTCGCCTGCGCTTGCCCCTTTAGCACCAAAAAGAAAACGGGGACATTGCACGTGTTGGCGCCCGCCTGGTTCCAGTCGTCACGGCTTGCGTCACAGGAACCTCGCGAGGTGTCCCTTGCCTTGATCTCTCCGCCCCTCGCGAGCCAGCCTGGTGAGGCCGCCCTTGAGGAGGTCTTAACGATATTCTAGAATCCAAAAAATGTGATCACCAACAACACTTGAGCTAGCCTTAGAGGTGATACGAGGAGTCTTTATTTTATCCATTTATTTTTTCACACGTGCATATGAGTTTTTCATTGAATCACATATTCCATAATCATAGCAGTTATAGTATGAAATATAAACACTTAATTATGAATATGGAAATATAATAATACAATATTATTGTCTCTACGGCATATTTCCAATACTAGTCAGCATCAAATTGTTTGTGGTCATACATTTCATAACTCGGTTAATCCATTTCGAAGAGAAATCCAAATCAATCAACCCATCAAGAAATATGCCGCCCCGTTATGTATGTTATGCCATAGCCAAGTCAAGCTTGTACACACAATAATTTGTACGCTCATCCCGAGACGATTGAAGAGTATACAAACATTAGAGGCAATGAGTGTATTATTAGAGGCAACAAGTACATTATTAGTGATCATTCTTCTAAAGATGAAAGTACTTTAGGTGGGAGAGATCAAGCCATCAAGAAAATGCCGCAGTCTATTTACGGGACACTTTGAAATAATCTTATAAGATATTACAGAGGCATATTGGACAAAAAATTCTTATGCCCGACTTCATTTTTCTTCTTGGGAATAAGGACAATCATAGTGTCACTGACTCCATTCGGCATCCTTGTAGACTCAAATGAATATTTTACTACAACAATTATATCAGTACAAAGCAATTCCCAGCTTTTTCCATAAAACCCTTACCAGAAAACCGCCATGATTCCAACGTTACACTTGTACTATGTAAGTGTTCATAAATGGAAGCTAGTTATGCTCTTGACCAAGTATTCTCAATTTGATTCTTCTGGTTGTTTGTTGATCGATATGACATATTTAGTTATGAAATATACACACAAAACAAAAATATCATTTCCTCTTTTTGAACAAATTCGCGTCACCTTTGATTATATGATACATACTAAAATCAAGTTAAAATAAATTTATAAAAAATCGAATTAGATATCAATTTCGTATTTGTCGATGTATCACAACCATATTTACCTAGAAACCATATTTGTCGAACTGAATTAACTAGTGAAAACACACTAATTAAACCCACCATCACCCTTATAATTATTAGGAAGAAAACAATCATAAATTTGATGTACAAACTAGTACTCACTCCCTTCAAAAGTATAAGTTATTTTGGATATTTCAATATAAACTACATGCAAATTAAAACAAGTGAACAAATACACTAAAATATGGAACGTGGAGTATCTGCTCCCGAACTCAAATGCACCCTGGTGAACAGTAAAATCAAAAAAAAAGTAAAAGAATCTGATTTTTTGTGATAAACTTTGACAAATATTTTGTATGCTTGTAAAATTTCAGCACAAAATGAAATTCATGAAAGTCGTGGCAAAAAGAATTTTAAAAAAGGCGATGCTCGAAAAATGGTAGTTCTGAGAACATTTTGGAGTACCGGTTTTGTTTTTTTCCACGACTTTCAAGAATGTTATTTCGTGCTAAAACTTGTTCAACATACAAAACATTTGACAAAGTTTATCAAAAAATTAGATTTTTTTGGATTTTTTTAGATTTTACGGTTCATCAGGGTGCATTTAAGCTCAGGGTCAGAATAGAACTTTGGTAAAACATGTCTATATACATCTTTTTTTTAAAAAACATGTCTATATACATCTGATTTTTTTTAAAGAACAACATATATTTATGGACGGAGGGAAACAGTATACTTTTCTATGTCAAGCGAGATTTTATTATGTGTATAAATCGACTGAGACATAGGATAATCCGTGGAATTACGCCTTTCCAAGAAATAAAATATAGGGGGGAAAGGGGTTTATTCGCGTGGTCGCTCTGCAGTCTCTACTTCTCACACCACTCTCCCCCCTTAGATCTCGCCCACGTCGCCGCCGTCCACATCGCCGCCGCAGAAAGGTCCGCCGCGCCTCGCTGCTGTGGAGGTACAAGTTTCCTCCCCCTCCCCTACGCCTCATGTTCTTTCCTCTCCCCTACTACTCCCCGTCTCCCTTCCTCGCCCTTCTCCTACCTATCCACTCTTCTCCCTTGCGGCCACACCTCGTCGCTGGTTTAAGATCCGGCAGCCGGCCCCCTTCCGCCCGGAGGAACTTCGGCGGGAGAGCAGGTATATCCCCCGTGCCCCCCTCATCGTCCACTTTCCCCTCCTACTCCTACCGTCTCCCACGCACTCTTACACCCTGCATCTCCCTCTCCTCCCCGTCGCGGAAGCTCCTCCTCCCCTCCCCGGCTCGTGCAACCGCATCTCCCTCTCCTCCCCGTCGCGAAAGCTCCTCCTCCAACTCCTCCTCCTCCCGTCCCCTCTCGCCTGCTGCAGGCCAGGATCAATCTTGCCGGTTTGATAGAAATTGCAGTCCTGTCATGCCGGCTGTCACCCATGCCTTGCCCCGGGTTTTATCTTTAGTCTTGGATTTAGGAATTGCCGACTAACTCTCTCGGATTTTAACTGTTATTATGGTGTTTTGTATGGTTTGATTCTATGGAACTCACACTTTTTATCCCTTGCTGGTGATACAGGGCTGCTCACTAGATGGCTGTGCTGATTTAATTTTATGTAGCTGTATAAGCATCTTGTGTTGTTATGCGTGGAATGTTAAGTATTTAAGTTCACTACAGGATGAGAAGTCAGTTCATCATATCATACTGTCTCCACTTCAACATATGCGTAGCACCTTCTGTCTAGAATGATGGTTGTTCTACTAGTACTATACTTTCATAAACATTTCTAGTGGAGCCTCCGGATCGAAGGGGATACCCGTGACCATGATGGCTAGATGGCTGACTAGCCATCAGCGAGGGGGAACGGTATCCAGTGTACGAGCAGAGGAGAGAGCAAAGAAGGGTTCCCGCTAGTGTGTTGAATTCGCCATTCTCCTTTCCTGCCCCCTCTTTTTCTCTCATTTTTAAGACTTTGTTTCCTGTTGAGAAATGAAAAGACATATATTACTTTATGGATAGCTTGCATCAATCGATGCAGCTAGGGGGCCTTATGTATGCGACTTAAGGATTTAATGCCCTCAACAGATACAACGCTGATTCGACTCAAACTCTCTTGCAAAACATGACTGCTGCAGGTTCTATTGAACCGACTTCAGTTAACAATAGAAGACCCTTCCATAATAAAAAAGAAGTCTTGATTTCTTTTTAGCCCATTCCAACTCAGGCGCAGGTGTTCTGGGTTTCCCCCTCTGCTAAGGAATTCCCCACATAGCATCTGGTGAAAACAATCTCTTTGGTCTAAACTAGAAAACAAATTTGGTCTCATCACCATATACATAAATTTGTCTGGTCAAACTCCATCGTCTGTCATTGGGTAACAAGAAATCAATATGCTTTAGGTTTAACTTCATTTCTTACCATTGTGTCTGTGATGCACTATTTTGCTAATTTGTGCATGTCTTATCTGTGGTAACAAAGTTAGACATTGAGTGTAATGGTGAGAATACCAGATAACAGCCCTTCGTGCTGGATACTTCTGCAATGTTTATCAAATTGGACAGATAGAAGGGAAGTGGATTTGAGAGGCATTACTGTATTTCTTAATGTGGCACCGCCGTTCTTCAAGGGCGCGCTGAAAACTTGAGATGGAGACCCTGCTCGCGTATGTCAGCAGGCCCAAAGTTACTTGAAAACATCAAAAGGACCAAAATGTGTTGCAAGGAAGG